CAAATACATAAACAAAAAAGTTTTTTTTTACGTAATATATATATACGTGATATATGCAAACGCTTGAAAAATATAGAAACGAATGTAAGAACTGTGCACAAAGAAGGCTAACAAGAGATCGAAGGGAATAAGATACGAGAAATAACTAGCTTTGGAGTAGAAAATAGTACAACGAACGCAGGAAAGACACGTTCGTTATATTCGTAATCCGAATCTCGATTTAATACGAGAATGCAGCAGGAGGGAAGAGGGTGTATGGAAAGACGCTTTGAAGAGGCGCAGGGAAGATTGCGCAAGTGTATGTGTGTGGATGGTTTGAAGATGAATCTTGAGGAAGCCGCAGTCTGTGCGCCCAATGTGCGGGTTAAGGACGAGCGCCTTAACATCCCTGTCTATTTGTCGAATAAAATACGAGGAACCTGGCAACCGCATAAAACGTGCATTATTCTCAACTTTTTCTCACTCGCGGATTCGGCGTCGAGCACCCGGGTAACGCTAGGCAAATCTATCCCTATCAGACGCAGACGGACGTTACTCGTACGTCCCCCTCCTTCGCGCGCTTCGCCCGAGGGATAAAACGGCTGAATTTCCAATGATCGGTGAAAAGTAGAGGCGATGATTTTGCGGGACATGCGTTATGATGTTATCGCTAGAGAAAAACTTGTTCGCATTTTATCCCCCTTCGGTTGCAGTTACCCGAGTCGACCCAGGTCGTTTTCGAAATAGAACATATGCGACTTGTAAAGTGCTATGAAAAAAATGTTCAAAAATTCGTGTTGATGCAATTCTTTTCGTATACACGATAAAAAGTCTATTCAAATGAACCTCCTATTAATCCGCTTCTGTAGTTAATTCTCTAAATAAACTTTCATAAGTTATTTCTGTTAACATTACATCCGCTAATTATTATTGTTTGCGTATGTACTTCATTTCTGCATTTCATACTTGTTAGTTCACTGTAATCCCTTTTATCGTCACGCATTTTGATTAACGCTCTTCGTCGATCTGATGCTCTGCATTTTAAATTAGCAGTAATAAATTGCAAAATTATAATGACTCTGTCAACGCACATTTGACAATGTTAATCGCATAGAAATATGCCGTTTAAACTGATACAAAGTATGCCATGTATTTATAATTATATTGTGAGCACGAAAATATCGGGGAATAATTGAAATTTCTATGTTACAAATTGAGTTTGTACATTTTCGCATTTTCATAGCTTTATGTTGCAGCTATAAGCGACATGCGGTATGCGTTACATAGCTAAAGCTAAGTTCGATAACCGGAGAAACATGATAATCATCAACGTGTACCACGTACATTATGGAATTATTGTCAAAAGGTGTCACGTCGGTCCGACGTTGCGACCACCATTAAATTTATCGTAAATTGACCCAAATTTTCTGATAATCGATAGAGCTCCTAAAAGCCGAAACAATATCCGACACGATAATCCTGATACCGTTAGAATGAATAGGCATAAAATCAATACAGTGCTAATTATTAATTAATACCTATATCGTTATTTATTACAAATCTGTTATTTAATTATTAATTATATTTTTATCATATCCTTTACTTCGTTATTTTGTACTTTTTTCCAAATTGGGGATCCTTCAGCCATCTTTTTTACCACCAACACAGTCAAATGTAGTTTTTGCGCTTGTAATTCTTTTTATTAACTCTTATGCACAAAATAATACCAGGATAAGTTGCAGACCGTACAGCAGAACATTTTCATACTTAAAACATTCAGTTCAGAAGTCTAATAAAAAAAGATATTGGTATTTGAAATTTTCAATTCGTAGTTCTAACTAAATTTGAAATTGGCATTATAAAGTTGCAAAATTCGTCCACACGATTAAAGTACGCATAAAGACAAAACCAGGAACAGTCATCTTTATAATAAAAAAAAAACGAGGAGAAATCAAAACTATCACTTTATAAAAGACTGAGGCTAGCAATTGCTTCAGAAATCGGTAGCTGTGTATAAGAAGAAATAATTTAAAAATGAAATAATCAAAGCATTTTTCGTTCCGTCTAATGCATTTATCGCGATACTTGGATGTTACTGTAACTGAATACAACTGCGGGACGGTATATCTCTCATCTTGCGATTCGTAGAACGGGGTGTGTATGGCAAGGTATAACGTACAAAACAAAGTATGAAAGAAATACAAGCCATTGCATTTCAATGAAAGCTTACTTTGCTCGCATTGGCGTGCTGGACGCGCGCTTCCGGGTTGGAACACCCGGGGTTGATTTGTTTTTCTCGACTTCGCCAGGGTAGACGTTAAGTGTACTCAACGTCTTATCGTGCGCCGCGCGGATTTCGGTGCCATATTTCATGCGGCAGGCAACTTTTAGCGCTCTTCTTTCGTATTTACTCGACCGGTTTGCGAAAGGCACAATAGCGGAGATATAAATCCCAAGATTTATGAAGTCGATGCAGTTCATTGAGATACGTGAAATAAGTCGGAGTGCCGGCAAGTGAAAGGAAGTAATTGGTCGCGTTTTCAGAATTTATTTCGAAGCGGTCCAAATCCATTTCCCGATATTACGCCATCGTTTATTTATAATCCAGTTACATGTATACGAATTAAACTTGTCGAGTAACTTAGCTCTGCGGCGACTGTGGCGCAGCGAAATGTGCGCTGCTTAGTAAACAAATGAACGAAAAGATCCGAGTTCAAATCCACGGACACCGCTGATTTTTTCGGATTCTCTCGATGCCACACATACCCCTTTAGAGGTGAAGCCTTCCAGGTTGGAGGTTACCTTCGGCAAGGTCAGTAGCCTGCTGAAGATGTAAAGTAAAATGCTCAAAGTACCAGAACGAACTAGGTGAAACAGGCTTTTAAGCCTAATACACGAGGAAGAAGAAGGGGAGTTCCTAGCGAGCAAAGTGGCGTCATCAAGCTTCTGCATCTCTCTCATACACTGATAGATCGCAAGAAATTAGTGCCGGAAAACCGTTTTCGTCTATTCAAATATTACAATTTGAAAAATCTCATAAAGATCATATTAAAATTATAGAAACCTCTCTATAGCGTAGATAATAACTTGGTCTACGTTAACATTCAAAAGTGTCGTGCTAAGCGAAACCGCGAGTACACTGCCGGTGTAAAGGTCGTTGTCAGTGCAAAGCGCTCGCGCAAGAACCGAAAAATAAACATCGCCGTGAACCAGGAATAATCAGACGGTGCACAGAGAAGAAACGCACAAAAATGTATGCGAAGAGAGTGTAGCAGGTACATACACGCGCGCGCGTTGCGCCCCGAGCGAGCGTACCATGCCGTGGTAGATAAAAGCTCGCTGTGTTCTTCGTTCTGTTTGGCGGTTGAATATTAAAAACAGGAGAGCGAGCCCACGAAGCAAGCTTTATTCGGTCGGAGGGCCATGAGCTTTCGAAGAGCGTGACGCGCGCGTCAACCGGTGCCGCGATTGTTTCGCGTAAACGTGTACGCCTCGCCACGGAGACAAGTGCAGCCGGCAGAACGAATGACGCGTCCGTCTAGCGAGGGAAAAAGAAAAAAAAAGGAAGGTAAAATGCTTTAGGGCGAACTTTTAGAGCGAATGCATATTCATGTCGTAGTGATGCGACCGCCGGGTCCAAGTGGTGCGAATTAATATGCATAAATTCTGCCATTACCAGCGGTTCAGGCAGCTTGAAGCGTCTCTTCCTCCGATTTCTGGAGGTCCGACCCACTTGCCAGAAATTCTTGGGAACGGCGCAACACTTTTACGATACCTATATTGCTTAAACCTGGGTGCAACAAGAGTAAGAAAATGCCAAGAAGTTTCTTGTTGCGGTAAGTCGCGCGATATATTGTATAATAATTAATCTCGAATTTTAATCAGAAATTTATAAGATAGATAAATCAAATATAGCCGAGAGAAACCACGACAAAGTACGAACGCGAAAGAAAAATGTTTTTTTTTAGAAAAATTTGATACTTTCCAAGGAAAATATTTAAGGATTGACGTATTATATTATCGAGCGATGAAAACTCCTTTGCTTTTTATCCTTTTATCAAGGTATTAAAAAAATTGCAGTATTTTCAGAAATAACAAGTGTCTTTGATTATTTGAATGCGATAATGGTTTTTAGGGGAAGGATTATGTAGAATGTAAAAATGAAAAATGTTGGGAACAGTAAAAGTTTGCCACCTCGGTTATACGCCGCGGAAAATTTTTCTCTCGTATGTTATCGCTCCTAAATGTATCCGGCACATTCCTAAAAAACTTTATCAGTCGGAATTTTGCGAGAATTTAATCATTCGCGCGAAATTGAAAGGCTTTATGGAAGATAGGATCACGTTTTCGAAAAAAAAAAAATAAATTCACACACATCTCACTTTTTCGAAACGCATTTAAAAATGCGTTGTATTAAAAAAATTCGCTATTCTTTTGTAAAGCCGGGATAAAAATTCTTCATATTGCATTATACAAAAATAAGGAATATTATTTCGATTTACAACGATCGTTTCACGCGTGGATTGTTAAACGTCAAAAATATTCGAATAATATCGGCTGCAGAAATTATAAATCAATAGAGAGAGTCATTAAAACAAATGCTGATTTCAAACCATTCTACATGTATAATATGTTTCTAATAACTCTATCAAATATTTAACATATATGTGATATCCTGAGAAGTTTTCTTCAATCACATATATAAAGATCGTCTTAAATATCTCTTGAAATATTACGTAGCCAGTAAAATAATTTGTACAGCATCCACACGGGTAATTTTGAGCTAAATACTCTTTGAACATGTATTTAAGACAAAGTTAAATAAGAATATTGACTATAAACAAGCCTTAGTACGCACTTGGAGCGCACTGGTGCAAGCAATCGAAATCGCTAATAGATAAACGAGTGCAGCATTAAGAATAAACGGCATTAAACTTTCCAAGACCACCACACTTTTCGTGTCAATAGGAAATCCGACTCAAAAAGACTAAACATTGGGAAGAAGATTGCAAAACACTCACCGAGCACGACCAGTTTCACCGGTTTGCCGAAAAGGATCTTCCCCCGGTCGTCCTCCAGCGTGCAGCCCCACACACCGTCGTCCTCTAATCTAACGTTGTCTATGTGCAATGCCGCGGTTGTCGAGTCGCCGATGTACCGGTGCCCGGTTCCGCTCATTTCCGTTCTCGTGTCTATCGTGATCATATCCACTGGACTACCCTCGTGCAGCCATGTCGCCGGTCGTATTCTGTAACTTCTGACAAGAAGCGCAGCGTCCGCATTATTAGTTCACCTAACAAACTTCGTTACGCCCGATCTTCGAGCAACGAAGGGACTTCAGCCGTACACGCGCGTTACTATCACAGAGAGACTTTGTTTCCGTAAAGGGAAATAATTTCACCGCGATGCGTTCAACGCGGAACGTTACTGTTACTACAAAGCGAACCGGACATTAATGTGCGTTAATTTGACGAGGCAATATTATTACACAGACGTGTGCGGTGAAAATATAATGAAGGCTTTACTTTCGACAAAAGGAGGAAACGGAGATTATCGATTGTGTATCGTGTTACGCGGTTTATTTGAAATTTCAACGGGATATTTCCACGCTCGGTCAGAGAGAGAGAGAGAGAGAGAGAGAGAGAGAGAGAGAGATTTCATTAAAAATATTTTCAAATATACTTGACGCTTTCAAGAATTTTAACTAAAATGTTTCTCCAATAATTCACAATCGCGGCGAGTCGATTGAAACGCGTGTTACCTCGCTCCGGGCAGCAGCAATCTCGAGTAATTTCCTTCGAGTTCGCAGGGTAAGATGACTTTACTGTGAGGCTTCACCACGAGCTCCAGCGGCGGATTGGATGACGTGTCGGCCATGTCCGAGGACAGAGCGATGTTGGTCATGGTGGAAGAACTGGTGGACCATGACTCCTCTTCGGGGGCCAGAAGGGCCGCGGGTTGTACCACTTCATCAGGTAAGGGTATCAACGTCGAGCTAGACGTCGTTGTGCTCGTCGTGCTGGTGGTAGTTCGCCTGGCACGCCGACTACCCTCCTGCCTGCCTCGTAGCGCAAAAACACCAGCCTCGTTCACGGAGCCTGTAACAGCGACGCGGTATAATAGCGTCAGCCCCTCTGACGTGGCCGCCGTTAAAGAAAGTTACCGTGATTTCATTTTTCGTCAGTTTTCTATCGCGCTTTTTATAGCGCGCCGCCTTATCGCGCTTTCGTTATTATCGCCGTTCCCGGCGCGTCCCGGTTTTTCAAGTATTTCTGGATAAACCGTCGCGTGACCTCCCTGGCAAGCAAGCACGCTTCAACCACGACTTGGACTATTATCGGTATTTACCGCGTTACTGCTGTAACTGTTTTATACGCCCGGCCGCGATTGATTAACCGGACGGACAGGGAGATTAATTAGGGTATAATGTACTTGCACATCGAGTTGTATAATTAAACAGTTACTATAATTGCGTAAAACCCTCGATCATAGAGTTTACGCTCCTTCCGCGCGACACGTTCTTCGAGGCTTAATCCCGACAAGACGCGCGTTTAAATAAACGCAATGTGTTATTCTTCGCGGCGCATAAACACTCGAGCGAGCCCGGAGAGAGGTGCGACGCGCCGCATCCGCCCGAATTCAAAGGGCGAATAAATTTCCTAGCCGCTCGTTACGGCGAAACAACAGACGGGATTAGTCGCCCGCCTTTATCGCGCTTCCACGCCTCGCCGGAAAGTAAATATTCTGAAGACTGGGACTTGATCGAGTTAGCGCGGCCCTGGAATTTGATAAAGTCGCGACAAGAACGTTGTAGCGAAGGGCACTTTCCATCCGGCGAACAGGCGCTCGTACCGCACGCTCGGTCGCCCTCGCCTAAAACTGCCTGCCTATCGAGCTTGGTCGACCGAGACTTCACGGGGAAAACTAATTATGGTTCCGATGAGCCGCAAATAGCTGCAACTACCCAACCTAACGCAACTAAGAGCTCTCTTCCCGGGACCCGCCTTCTCATCCTGCAGCCGCGAGTCCCGCAATCCCTCTGTAGCAAGCCAGTAGTTGAGGGTGACCGACAGCCCAACTTGTTTGCATGCCACGAGGCAATTCTACGGTGGCTCTTTCATTAACGTGCTCTCTTGCCTAACGGCTAAAGCACACACTCCATTCTTTTGAACCTTTGTTAGAGCTGCGTTAGCCTCCACACTTCTTTAGACCGGTTTCTGTTGCGTTCTTTCAGCGAACAAGTTTAACAATCTTTACATCACGGGAGAAAATTTAATTTTTCTAGAGCTAGATGTATAAATATTGTCTTTCAAAGACAAAGCACGCCGAAGGCAATAGCAGCGTAAAATTCAAGACTTGTACTCATGTATGAAATACATTGAGTAAATGCGCGATTGGCTATAGCTTTTATTTATCCGTGGTAAAGATATTGCGGATAATTAAATGATCCCGTTTGCTAATTCTTAATTTAACGTTTCATCAACTCTGTTTAACTAATGTGCAATACGCAAGTTAACAGAAAAGTATTAGTATGCGGAAGAACTAAATGCTCTACGTACGCAATAGGACCCCAATTCTATCTTTAAGAGCTGTATTAAGCCCTCGCGAAGCTGCAGATTCCGCAGAAGACGAGCTGACAACCGAAGTTCTACGTATTTCTCGAGAATTATTAAACCGAAGAGACGAAACATTACGCGAAAGAACGCGAATGCGTCTAAAGCACATTTTATTCCCGTTGCGATTAAATGATCGCTAATTTGCTACCATGATGAATATTTAACATTCAACCGAGGAAACGCATTCATTGCTAAATATAGAACGTAAGAAGAACTGAACGCTTTTATATAACAATCGCGATCTAGCGGTGACAAATTATTTCGAAAACTTTTCAGGTATTCACACGTTACATCCACAAAGCAGGTTAACTTCGAAATATCGTCTGTCACGACTGTTATTCGACTTACGATCATATGAAATGTAATATAGAGGAAAGTCCTCTATTATGAAATAGGATTCTAATACGAGACAGCGGGTTTTCAACGTCCAAATTCAATCAATTTTCCGCTAAACAGATTTCACTCCAATTAAATTCACGGTGGAACCAACAGATGACGCCTATTAATTTAGCAGTAACTCCGCTATCTCATATTAGAATCCTATCTCGTAATAGGGGACATTCGTTTAATATTTACAATTGTTCTTTTTCAATTTAACGAAAAATCACATTTTATTTTCGACAAGTAACGATATTATGCAATACTTTGATTATATTAACTGCTAGCTCCTCTCCTGCTCACACCCGCTTGATATCAAGATAACGGAAATGAATGTTTCAGAGGATTTACACACAGTCCGATTGAACGCGTACCATGAAGGTTCCTCATGCAAAAATTTAATCGAGAGGCGGGGTGGACACTTGGACAATTGAAATCAAATGTTTATCGTTTCCGAGGACGAACACGAAAACGATACGATTTTTGCTCCAGTTGCGCTGGACGCAAAAGAAAATATATCGACCTACGGTCACGTAGCGATATCATGATGCCGGCCAATAGCGAGTGGCCTCTGTTCATCAACGTTGCCAATAGTATACCCGGCTAGTTATACACTGCTATCGAGTGGATGTTGTTCGACGTTGATGCATGCATTATTCAAGCGGTGTATCCATTCATTATTCATGTCATGATCAATAGATGTCAACAGACCGCGATCTGTATCTGAGCACGTCGCTATGGCAGAAAGTGAGAGTGGAGGCCAAGCGAAATATACGGGTTGACGGGCCAGGGCCCCTCTCAAAGGAACGTTGCGAGTAGGGCGATGCAACGAGTTTACAGCCGCCGCGAACACAGTCGGGAACACGATATAGGTAATGAACCTTTCATTACGATAGAATTGACCGAGTTCACTCGATTTGCGCTTTCGCCGCGCGCAATGTTGATTCGCACTGGTGACTCACAACAGTGCGAGACGGTGGAGCGGTTAAAAGGATTTCACCTCGTGTCACCGGGTAAACTCCTTTTCCGCTATGCGCGGAGACCTTCCCCGGTCGCCACGAGGTGGTAAATTTCCCCTCCGCGCCGTCGACGTAGCCCGCCGCTGTTCTCTCGTCGTGCATCGCGCATCAAAGGTGAAACACACGGAGTCCGCCAATTGGGAATTCCGATAATTTGGAAAGGAGGAGCAGGTAAACTTCAACCGGCAACGCCTCGAGTCCCCGAAGCACTAGATTTGTCGAACGTTCCGGACGAGGGCGAGCTTTGCAACTTCGTGCCGCGAAATACTACGCGCCGCATGAACCAAGTTTCGCCAAGTAGCGCCCGCCTCTCTTTGCCTGTTATCTACTTTACGTTATCGCGCCGCTAATTTCACTCTCCTTCTCTCTCGACCCGGCTCGATCGCGAAATTCTCCATGATTTTTCTCTCGAGGAATACTTTCAGCGCAAATACCCTCCCCTATGCGTCGTTACGATCTTATCAGGGATGCATAGTAGATTTTAGCTTACATTTTCTATTATGTTCGTACGATGAAACGAGTGCAAAATAGAATATTACATACACAGGACGGTTGCAATAACTGAGTTGGGTTATGGCTCTATTACAGGTGATGATAGAAAAGAGTGGTAGGGAAAAATCACTCACTGTTTAGTTTAACTTGTTATTTTTACATTTGTTAAAAAATAACGTACACATTTGCAAGATGCAACTACATTTTCTGCTTGAAGTAAAATCACATGTACTTTTTTCAGAAAGTTAATATTTTGCCAGATATTTATTTCACATTTCATGTCACACAATTATTATCAGGTACATTTTCTTCTCAAATATGCATATTACCGTGAATTCTACACATTTTCCAACATGTTTTTTTTTATCTTTTCAAAACAAAGCTGCTGCAATTCGGTCTTTCAAATTACTTTCTGACATAAACCTACAAATGTACGTTATCCTTGACGAGCACTCGTAGAAAAATTCTTCTGATTATTTTTCTTATTGTTAATATACTTCTATACGTGAATTCCAATGAGAAGAATCAGTTTACGATAAAAAAGATACGATTCCATTTTTAAAAATGCAGTTACATCTTGCAAATGCAAATAAATGACAAATAGCGAAAGATTTTCCACTATTACTTTTTCTCTCTTAAAAAACTTATATACAATATATGTTTAATGTTTTCACGTATACATATGTATGTATATATGTATTTAAAATACAATATACATGCATGTAATACGATAGTCGCAATTCAATATTCAATTTATAATATTTGATTCTTCGCCAATTTTTGTTGTGAAAGGTATAACTGAGGAATGATTGATCGCAAATTAATCCAACGGATACTCGCGCAATGTTGTAATTAGGTCAACAGGGAATCCTATCACGCGTTTCGCTACGATATTGGAATGAAAGCGGAACGAAAATTAATCCGAACATGATCAAAGCGCGTAATCGGAGCTCGCGACAGCAACGAATAAAACACGAGGCGAGTGTCCGCGAGCGGGGAAGAAGAAGGACGCGAGATGATATTTTATTACGCGCGTTTTTCGCCACGCCGCGGTAATGCACACGTCACACTCCATGTTTGTCCGATTATGGTCACCTGTCTCGCGCCGCCCGGGGACACCCGGTCCCAGAACGTATCAACGAAACCCGTCTCACCCCGCCGCATTCAGATCCGAGGAAGGAACCGTCGTCCGTCGTTCGCTGATGAAAAGTTTCGAGGGTCCTCGGAGGCTTTCGCATGTCGGCCGCGGACACGAAGGGCAGTTGGTGCGCCACATAGAAGGGCGCGTCGCGAGCGGTGGAGGATGGGGCGGGTTTTACGTACCTCTCTACGCTCCGCCGGTAGACGCCAGAGAGGTGACCTTGCTGTGTATACAAAGCGGCAAAGATCACAGGCGTCCCTGGAGCACGTAGAGACGCGAGCGCGGTAGAGAAATAGAGCAAGCAAACGCGCGGAGCAAACGGGTGGATTCGGTATCGCCGGGTGTATATCGCCAAGGGAATCTATCTTTCGCGTGGAATTCGCAGCACGATCATCTCTGACGGCAACGGGGAGTGATTCTCGGCCGGGGCTTCTGCCCTCCGCCGTATCTCC